CACCATCGCTGCAGGGGCCAAGCAATTAAATCTTGAAACCGACATTTAATCCATTTAATGGCACTGTGGAGGCGGGGAGACCATCAGGGATTTGCAGCAACGGTTTTGAAGTGATGTTAGCCATATTTAGACAGCGGATCAGTTAGTCTGCAGTTCACCTGTTCTCAATGCACTCTTAGTAGATATATAGTTCACATACCAGATGCCACTGTCTGGGATAGGCAGGGTCCTTGAAGTTCCAACTGCGTTTCACTCTAGGTCGAATAACCTGCTGACTGTACCATAATACTTCTGGAGAGACATCCATTATATGGTGAACAGTTTGTATAACTTCTCTCAAATATGTTGAAGAATTCAAGTACAAATCTTCTCTGCCTCCAGGTTTGCTCAAAATGTCTTCGTTTTCAGTTCTTATATTATCACCAATTAACTGGTATTTGTGAGACTTAGAATCCATATCCATTGTTTGTTTCTTGAATGTCTTGGAATGTAAGAACAGAAAAGTGTTTTCAATATAAGATTTTTGGCTACTTTCTGGAAACACACCTTGACTATCATGTTTGGTCAATTTTATCACAGATTTGGGGTACAAAAAAGTCTCTTTTTTAAGTGGCTTTTGACTTGAATCGAATTGACTGACTTTGGCATTTTGAGACCTGGATACTTTTCCTAAACTTGGCTTGGTTTCTGCATCAGAAGCACCTGTTTCCTTCACATTAGAGACTGGAATGTTGTTTAACCTGAGTTCCAACATATAAATATCAAAATGTTGTAAATATTCCATTGGATAAAACACAACGGAAGCCCTAATCTTAGAATTAGATAACAACCCACCATTTAACCTATCAGCAATAGCTCTGGATACTGAATTGGCAATGTTTTTGATGTGTTCACACCGACTAGAATAGTAGTAAAAGTGCTCACTGTCTTGTAATTTGACTGCCCAACTATGTATCTTGGCACTGTGATACTTGGTATCAATGTGGTGTTTAACATGCTTTTCCATAGCATCTGCATTCATGGTATGCTGAAGCAATGTGAAAATACATAGCCACGCATACAAAGCACCCTTTGACCTGACTTGCATATTATTTGACTTTATAATAAGCATTTTCATAATTGCCTTTATCCCTTGAAGTTCACAATCCATGAACTAAGGTCAGCAACCACTTCAAAAAAGATTCAGTTCTTTGGTTTTTACAACTGACAATTTGTATTGGCATATAAAGATAGCAAATAAATAAAGACACTTTAATAAATACTGTCAACAGTAGAATAAGCTGCAGATATAATATACCATATACATGTAAAAATATAATAAAGATCTTATCTTTTGTTTTCACAGTTAACATATATTGTGGATCCTGTCAAGTTTCATAAAGTTGCAGATGTGGTAACATGTTTATAAATAATAGCAAAAAATCCAATGCATAAATATTTCAGTGTCCCTGATTGAGAGTTCATGAATGACTAGATTACTAAACCCAATATTACAGAGTCCTTTTCACATGCTTCAATGTTTCTGACCTATGATCCAAAATATTTACTTTTAATCTTTAAAATCAATCCATGAATATTATCATAACTTATCTCCTGAAATCACAGTTGCTGCTATTTTATTGCACAATTCTTGCCAAGAGATCTTCAAGACCCGTTGAATAGTCCTTCATGTCTGTTAATAGAGGGAATTGTAGAAAAGTTAAAACATTATTGATGAAATATTATTGAATTCAACAAGTGTTCTTGCCAAACGTAGAGCCAGATTTGTAGGTCAGCGTCAGCATGCGAAGTATCACATCACAACAATATCTTATGAATCAGGTTAAAAGTGCCACATCTATCTAGGGTAATAAAGATGCCCAATGATTGTGCAGCAGAGTAAGTTACTTAATGACACAAAATCTGTCAAATACAATTATGACACTATTGGCAAAGCTTGGATAGGTCAACTTCAGTATTGCCTACCCAATGATGAAAGTACATCACTGTCCAATATTCCCATAGATATAGATGTCTGAAAGCTAGTGTTATACCACCTTTCTCTGCAATTGTTGCTATTTACAACAGCTTGATCCTGCAGGATTTGTATGCAACTATTAGTCCGCGTCATCAACACTGGGCCCACATCAATTGCCAGGAAAAATGAAGACAGGATTATAATCTGTTACATTACTCACTGTCCACAGGTTCTGCTTTGGGTCTCACACGGTTACAAGGTTTAAACTTTTTGGCACTGATTGAACTAACAAAAAAGAAATGCTGTAATGTTAAATAGACAGCACATAGCTGCATCTCCAACTCAACATGCTTCAGCTGCACCGAATCCTCAACCTTATGATTCCACCATTTAAATAAATAATTCATTGGTAGGCAACAGATGTAACTGCAAGTGACTTCATCAAATAGACAAAGCACCAATTTCCTCATATATAATTTACTGACGTTACAAGAATGAGCCTTCAGAAAATATGTCATATATCTCTTCTTCCTAAGTGAACAAGTATGGGACATGAACCAATCGTGTTTCATGGACAATAACAGAAGTCATTTTGTTCTCTCTGTCCTGGAGCATCCTTGGAGGTCATTTGGCTTGTATTCCTGAACTATATGTTCTGAAGGGCAAATCTGAAAGGATACAAAATAAATTTTGTCACACATCGAGTGGATGCTCAAATCCCAAGTACAAAACAGAATTTTACAACTGCTTAATAAGTGAAAATAACACACTGTCTATGATGCTAAACACCATGCACACATTTACTTGAAGACAGTCAAAATCATAATTTTTCAGAGGCACATTCTTTGATGTTTTTTTTAATATCATTTACAAGTAACTATAATTTGATTGATATATTTTACCATTGTGCTTGCACAAGGCAAATCACAATTTATACCAGTAGTGTTTAATGTATGATATTTTGATACTGAACTATACATAGAAGGTACTCTGTACCAGTACAGTACCATAAAAATCGATTAGGTACAGGTCCAAAATACTGGATCATGAAGTACCGGTACTGTACCAATATAAATTTACACCAAGTATGTGCTTGGTCAACAAACTCAAAAGCAGGTAAGAGGTCAGTCACTTTTCCATTTTTGCCACGTAAGGCCCTGGGCTGCGCAGAGTTAATTTGTTAAATTGTTCACGTCGTATTAAACTTACCTTTATCAAAAATTATTTGCCTCTCAAAATGCAGGAAATGCACGGTCAAAAATTTCAAAATTTCCCAGACCCCCCAGGAAGATCAGGCCTTCGGTCCTCCATGGGACACCCGAACACTGGTTCAGGTACAGGTCCGGACCTGTATCTAAACCTCTGTACCGGTACCTGTACCTGATGTTACGTTTAGGTACACAGCCCTAATACAAAGATATCCAAGACAACACATAATACACGTACTAGTATGCAGGCATTAAACAAAGACAGTCATAGAATCAATGACATTCATTCAAAAGTATGTCAAAACAGTTTAATTTTGATTTCAAAGATCTCATAATTATGTGATCAAAATATTCATTATCCTAATATATAAGCCTCAAGTCCGCCTTTTAGGAAAGTTTAAAGATGACAGGGTCGTGGTTTGTCCAGCATTCAGCACGGCACACATCCCTCGTGCCTCGTACGTCCTGCCGTCCCTCTTCCTGAAGATGAGAAAATTTATGAGAAACCAATGCTCTGAGCAAAGTGCTTCTATGACTTCCTGTTGTTGGTGCCGAGTCAGAAGATGGTACTTGTGATCAGAAGGTTGTGTTCAGCACATCTGGAGAAGCAGTAGACCCATGCTGTTACTGTTACCTATCCCATGCTTCCCAATCACTTTTTCTCATACTGTGCCATCTCAGGCAACTCTCATATTTAAGTCACCAAGAATGATGAGCTTGTCTCTGTTGGGAACAATTGTGATGATAGCAATTAGGTCCTCACAGAACTTATCCTTGATCTCATTTGGGTTTGTCATGGTGGACATGCACGTAAGGGGAGTTTCAGGGTCATCAGGTGATCATTTTCTCCTTTGGTGTGCCAGCCTGCTTGCCAATGAGGGTTTTACACAGCAAATCCAACTCGAGCCTCCTGTCTTGCCTCAGGGCTGCAACTCCTCCAAAAGAACATATAACCTGCATCTTACTTACTAAGCTAGCCTTACCCTGCCTATCTGGTCTCACATAAGGCAGCAATGTCAATGTTGTATCTGGTGAATACACTCCCAATGAGTGTCTCTGAGTTCTGTCTGAGTCATCTATGTCCAGAAGCATACGGTATATGCACATTCCATTTGCTCATAGTCAATGGGGTGATCCTTGTTACTTGTTTTTTTATTTGCTAACTACGGTGGTGTGGAGCAGGCAGTGTTGAGGGTATCTTGTCTAGCTCCTTCATCCTGCCATGGGAGATGAGCAGTGATGTCCTGAAAAGGACTGCTTAGTCACTCAGGGGGATACCAGACTCCACCAGACTCCAGTGAATGAGAAATCAACCGTGTGCAGATCTGCTCCTACAACTTCCAGTGTACCCACACTTGTTGCTCACCTGTCACCACAGGACTTGCAGAAAGGTGATGATAGGATGTAAGATTACTGATGACTTGCGCAAAGACTTTGTAAATTGTAAAAAAAGAGTTGTGCAGCGTCAACCTCACATTCTTGTTCAAGACCATCTGTTTCCAGTAGCAAGATGAGGTCAAGAGGTCTAGAGACAAAAAACATGTGCAGTGGATGACCAGGATGTACTATATGCCTCATTCTGCTCTCAGCACTCCAGTGCTCTGTTGCAACCACCTTCTTCTCCATTGAATCACGACAGTTTCTTCCAGTCTGCCAGATTCAGTTTTCACATGATTGAGTCGGCAAACACTAAGAAGTTTACCAAGGACTTGACATCCATCTGCTTCCCTCACCTAGTTTAGCCACCCTCTAAAAACGATTGCCCGGGGTGGGCACTGCCACATACTGGCAGCTTCTAGGACCCATAGGTGAGAACTGGGTACCAGTGAAGACCAATACAGAGCAAGCCACCCTTGGAAGAGCCTCTCTGTAGATGTAATACATGTACGTACCCCTCCCGAGCAAACTACACGAACTCCCTAAAAGGGCTACATAGATATATTGTGTTATATAGAGTGGACAATTTTGTGTTTCTTTACATACATGAACAATCAGGTATAACAGTTAAGGCAAAATAATTGTGATCTTATGTGCTATTAAAAGGGTTTTGATACTGTGTATGATAACGGATCAGTTAGGTGTGGAAAATTCAGGTAAATTAGTTCTGGAAAAATGTTTGTGATCTTCAATCAACCAGGGCCAGAAATCCTTATTTCGGCAGTCATGGTTTAGTTAATACCCCATATTTGACAGTAAACAAAAAAGATTTAATAACAGCATTTTAGCATCAATGGAAAACTGGTGACAGGTAGGATTTGACAAACAAGTAATTACACAATTGACTGATCAGTTATCTTATTTATGGCTGAGATCACAACCACTTTCCTTTACCTGTTTTTTTTTTTTTTTTCCTGAATTTTCCATACCTAACTGATATTTTCCCTAGCTGCAGTACCTGAGTTTTTCCACACCTTTAATGATCCTATTATCTTATTAATATACCCAAGATGTCAACCATTTCCTCTCAACTGCTTCCCTCGAAGTATCATGTAATAAGCATATAATTCTCAACAAGTGACTATCTGTGGTCCAAATTAAAAAACTCTAGAAATAAAAACGTGTGGCCCCCAGCTTAAACGATTTTGCATCAATTTATAATGGAGCACTACCACCGGCTCCCTTCGCCTTCCTCGTATGCACAGGCATACTCAAAGTCAGCACTATGTCTCAAATGAAAGACTTAGAGAAATTTATTGTTTACCTTCGTCTTTTTGTTTTCTCAATATTAACATATGGACAAAGACCAACATGTTTCATGAGTCGATTTAGTTGCTCTCCAAGTCCGATTTGACCCATTTGCTAACACCATCCTCCACTTCCGGTTTGATAAGGTCACGTGCATTTGTTTATTTCCTTCGCGAGGAGACTGTACGTTGATTAAGTCATTTTCCTTGAAAATATCTAGAAATTCACAGCACAAAAGATAAAAATAGACTAGTGCAAAAGTGCAGCAGAAAGATTGCATCTTGGACATTATATATATCTAGTTATTCAGTTGATAGAATAAAGGAGTTCCAACAAACTCTTTTTCGCTCAATGAACCAAGAACTTGATAAAAGCAGCACTAGTCTATGTGATGTACCACACTAAGAAAAAAGGCGAAGAAGAAGAAAAAAGCGACTCCAACTTCTTGGTTAAACATATTATTACTAACCAGTACTTATTAGGACATTTCTTTAAGAACATTTTACCCCCCCCCCCCCTCTCTTCGCAGCACGCCCTGTCTTCACTAACACAACAAGGTAATATCTGTGGAGGCCGTCACAATCATGGTTGAGACGCCATCAAAACCAAATCGCTGTGGCCTATGGCACCTATCCCAAAGCCTCTGTCACAACCGGCCGTACGGGCTCTTACGGGCTGTTCGCGTCCAAATTTGCCGCAGCATCTCACGTCCCACGCAAGTCCTTCTTTCACAATTTCGAGTTCGCAGACAGCCCGTAAGCACATATGAAGAATATTGGACATGTCCAAATGATTTTACGAATAATCTGCGAACAGCTAGGCCGCAAGCGTGACTTGCTCACCTCGCAAGGAGTATACAAGGAGTTCGCAAGTGAGACGCGCGTGGGCCAAGACTCACGTTGCAAACAAAGAAGGAGCAAGTGCCTTTCTTGTGTTGAGTACGGCGCACGCTCTCACAACTAACGAACAAAAAGTCGAAAGTACACCTGGGTTGCGTCGCACATGCGTCACCCCCACGCCTGGGGTATAAAAGGTGTGCTCACGACGCACGCTCGTGACTGGACAATGAACGTCGACTGAGCAACGTGTACAATAAATTTCAGCAATTTGAAAGTTTTCTCAGTTCAGCTTTTAATATGCCTTCAAACGGCAAGAGAAAGAAACTTAGAGAGCGGAAAAGAAAGGATGATAAAGAAGAAAGAAGGGAAGAACAGGATGCAAAATAATTTGAAATTGACGTACGCCGCCACTATGTCATCACAAACGTGTGACGGTGTGAGGCAAGTGTGAAGCAAAACTGACGGAAAAGGGAACTACTTTCGCCGTGCGTTGCATTCTCTTCCTAAGTGGTGAGTGCGTGCCACATACGCGACCGCAAAACAAACTCAATGAGTGAGTACAATTTCCACGGCCATCGCGCCCTGCAAATAGCGTCCCTTTTAAAAATAATTCTTACGTGGCATCGCGACTAGCAAGACAGACTTGCGCCTTTCCACTGAAATTCGTAGCGGACGTGCGATCCTAAAATTCGTTCGTCCTGTTGCAGGGCCGTAGCCTGAGCAAAATGCCAGGGGGGGGGCAGTAAGCGGACACGAGGGGGCGAAGCCCCC